CGTGTAAAAAATCACTTCAGACACTGTTTTGTCCCATCCACTAATGCCACTCAACCCTTTTCTCCGAGCACATTCCCAAACACCACCACTTTTTGTTTGACGACTTCCTCTCCGCTCTGGGGCCGTTCCAGCACACACAAGACCACAGTTAGCGCACAAACAGACGCTCACAGCCCTTATAAGTCAAGACAATGGTGACAGGGAGCAGCCCATTGGCCACCCTGGTTTCATTTCACTCAGTCTAGACTCCAGATGTTTTGTGCCTGTACGCTGTCACACTGCCACCCACAGCACACCTACACACTGTTATTGACTAAGACCGTGTGCAGCCTTATCAGGGCCTGTCTTTAGCGGCAGAGTCTCCACCAGATGTCACTGAGCTGTTAGAATCTCACCACTGCGGGGGACTGGAGTGTGTCCCCGTATACTGTATGTGATTTCCAACAGTTTCATCCACTAATTCAGGCGCTGCTGTGAAAATTATTGATTGACTGCGGAACCTTCCGCAGTCAACCATTGGTTTTGTATTTCTTTATTCCGTCATTTTTTTTGACACGTTTCACAGCTTTCACATTTTCAACAATTTCCACAAGTTATACATCAAAACGTTCCACATGTTTGGGAGATTATTGCTATTACTTTTGGGACTTCAGCGATTTCCGGTTTTTCCGCAATCGGACAAAAATCTGCATTGAGAATTCTGCAATGCATTTTAATAGGCCCATGCATTTTAATAGGACTTCAGCTCTTTCAGACATTTCTACAGTTTCAATGATTCAACAGTTTCAAGGATTCAACAGTTTCAAGGATTTCAGCAGTTTCAAGATTTCAAGAGTTTCAAGGACTTCAACAGTTTCAAGGACTTCAGCAGTTTCAAGGACTTCAGCAGTTTCAAGGACTTCAGCAGTTTCAAGGACTTCAGTGTAATCATGCAACCTAATAGGGATTTTTCCATGTAAACCAGTATAATGCAACTTAATAGGGATTTTTCCATGTAAACCAGTATAATGCAACTTAATAGGGTTTTTTCATGTAAACCAGTATAATGCAACTTAATAGGGGTTTTTTCCATGTAAACCAGTATAATGCAACTTAATAGGGTTTTTTCCATGTAAACCAGTATAATGCAACTTAATAGGGTTTTTTCCATGTAAACCAGTACAATGCAACTTAATAGGGATTTTTCCATGTAAACCAGTATAATGCAACTTAATGGGGATTTTTCCATGTAAACCAGTATAATGCAACTTAATGGGGATTTTTCCATGTAAACCAGTATTATGCAACTTAATAGGGATTTTTCCATGTAAACCAGTATAATGCAACTTAATAGGGATTTTTCCATGTAAACCAGTATAATGCAACTTAATGGGGATTTTTCCATGTAAACCAGTATTATGCAACTTAATAGGGGTTTTTACATGTAAACCAGTATAATGGAACTTAATAGGGGTTTTTACATGTAAACCAGTATAATGCAACTTAATAGGGATTTTTACATGTAAACCAGTATAATGCAACTTAATAGGGATTTTTCCATGTAAACCAGTATAATGCAACTTAATAGGGTTTTTTACATGTAAACCAGTATAATGCAACTTAATAGGGATTTTTCCATGTAAACCAGTATAATGCAACTTAATAGGGTTTTTTACATGTAAACCAGTATAATGCAACTTAATAGGGGTTTTTACATGTAAACCAGTATAATGGAACTTAATAGGGGTTTTTACATGAAAACCAGTATAAAGGATAACAGTTTAAAGGATATCAGGAGCTTCAAATACTTCAGGAGTTTCAAAGATGTTTAAAGTATTTTAACAGTTTCAAGGATTTCAAGGATTTTTCAGCTAAATTCCACATTAGATCTGTTCCGCAGTCAATCGCAATGGCTTCAGCCATTGCAACGGTTTCTAGTTTATATTGTTGTTGGTATTAAGACGGGGACACTTTTCTCATATCTTTACGATGTCTATAAACCAGCACAATGTATTTGAAATTAAGCCAGAGAAATTGAGAAAACGGTGTAGGAATTAACAATGTTCCTCCCACTTTTGGAGGACTTGGAAGTATTGGCCTGATATTTCTTCTTAATCCCGTTTCAGTTTGAGTAGATAAAAGGTCGAGATGGACGACCGACATTCCAGATTTGACAGTGCATTTTCTGGGAGATGGTGGCTGGTGGTGGTCTGTCTTGCCCTCCTGTCATGCTTGGCTCCCTGCTCTTCCCTGCTCCTTCTTATAGAATTACTTTTCATAAGACCAACGTCAGCCAAAAAGATGGTTGCCACAAGATAGAAGCTCTGCTCACTCGCTACATGAATGTTTTAAATTTAGAATGGATGGATTGCAACAGAATACAAGTTTAAGTGGGTAAATGAGAAGGAAAGTCAAGCTGATCTATCTACCAATCTGTCTGTCTGTCTGTCTGTCTCCCTCCCTCCCTCCTTTTGGGGTACCTAATGTTCAAACCACAAAAAGACAATGTATTAAAGTCGATGTGACTAGTTTTTTTTTTTTAAGAGAGAGGACCACCCTCCCTCAGCCCCAAGCATAAAACAGTGACTCCCAGGGCTTTTTGCGTTCTCCAAAAGAATAAAGGTAATCAATTTAATTAAGGTAATTATGTTTTATATAGCGCTTTTACGCTTTTACCACTTCTGTAGCCACAGCTGCCCTGGGGCACACTGACAGAAGCGAGGCAACCAGTATGTGCCGTCGGCCCCTCCGACCACCACCAACCATTCTCACACACACACACACACATCAGACTCATTCTAGGCAATGGGGGTGAGGTGTCTTGCCAAGGACACAACGACAGGAGACATCAGTGAGAGTCGATAGAGAAAGTCTTGTGGTGGGCTCGAACCCAAAACCTTCTGGCTCAAAGGCCAATGCTCTACCAACTGTCGCCCGTGAATATATATGTATATAGGTGGATCATCAAGACTTGGTCCTCCCGATTGTCAATCATTCTGCTAATATGAGCTCGTCAAATCAGACCAGAGAGTTTTCTTTCAAAAAGTGGAGACGCCGTTTTTTTTCCTAAAATTTGGGAATATCCTCCTATATGCCTTTAAAATTAAAAGATCCTTTCATCGTCCCACAGTAGGGAAATTTCAGTGTTGCATCAGTAAAAGAAAAATACCAGCATAGGAATGAGGAACAAGTAAATATCAAATATTGCACAACTCTATACTTTAATGAATACAGCCTTTTGTTGTCTGTTTATTCACAACATTTCACTTTAACAAGACTCTTTCTGTCGGGACAAATAATCAATACTATTTAAGAAAAATAAATTAGGTACCCCTACTTTAAGGACCTTCTTGCTTGGAATTGTATCGCCAACAGTACTCTTATTAGTTTGACTTATAAGCCTTATCTTGTTTTCGTCTTTTCGCTGCAGCTTTTCCACCAGATGTCACTGAGAGCTGCTAGACTCTCACGGCTGGAAACTGAACGGGGGTTTCGAGTGGAGCGCTTGTCTGTTTGCATCCAGCGCAATTTTATGTGTGCCAAGTATATCTAAAGCGCAGCCCGGGAGCAGCTTGCAAACAGTAGCTCCACGCAGCAGGCAGTCTACCCAGGCAGGCCTCTTGTGTTTGACGAGGTGCTAAATGTTTGTTGTGCTTTTCAATGCCTAATTTGTTGCCATAACATATGCACGTCTTCTGCTGCCGGAGTGAAGATTATGAAAACTCAAGTGTCATTACTGACGCTTTAAACTGCAAATATTCTCAACTTCTCTCCTCCACGCAGCAGGGAACAGTGAACTTATTGACGGCGACTGATTGAGAGGCCACTTCCGAGATTTGAGACGGAAAAGAATCTCGCAAAGTGGAGAAGAAAGTGTGAGATATCATACTGCGCCATTTAGAGAAACGCTTGTTAATTGCAGTGATATAGATGTTGTTTTGCTGTGCAGTTAGGAGCGACTTATACAGCGAAGACAGCACGAGAAGGAAACAGGAGGCAACTTGATTTACCAACTGCTGTAAATCAGACCTGGCATTGCAATTCATCCATCAACTGAGCATGCGTTTGCACAGTCACAAGCAAGAAGCTGCTTTAGACCTGAGAAGGCCCGGAGAGTTTGTGTGGGTGGACACAGAAAGTAATCTATCAAACAGTCTGCAATCTCAGACGTAAAGATTTTATTTTAGTTTTAGTTTCAAGACCAGAACACACTTACAAACAACTGTGAAATGAAAGCAAAATTATATGTGATTTTGTAATTTTTTCAAGAATACAAGACTGAAGTCAGAGCAGTAATTGTTTATGGGTATGATCTGTGCACATCTAGAGACTAAAATTTAGACTAAAGAATAGATGCAAAGCGATTCAGGTCTAGACATTTACTGGACCATTCTAACACATGCATACGTTTTCTTCTTATGGATTGCATTGTGGCAGGATGGCAGCTGATTGGGTGATTCAGAGAAAGAAGGTCATGGCCTTGTGTCGGCCCTTCTCTATAAAGGTCTGCTCACCTTGGGGAATGTACCTCACCCCAGGTGAGCCAACGATGCATTTACCATAGCCCTCTGATCTGGGTCTCTAGTTAGTGCTCTCCTTGTTTGGTTGGGTCGGTGTTTTGGTAGATTTGCAGTTGTGCCCCATCGACTTGACACATCTCTTGGTACGGCCTGAAAATAAATATATATATGTGTGTGTTTTAGAACTCATCAGGTGCATAGATGTCTGACTGATCTTAAGAATGAGCTTGAAACCCATTATATTATGCACAACAGTATAAGATTATCTGTTATTCGCCTGATAACTGGCCTGTCCATGACCCTGTCCTTGCTTTGACAAAGGCAAACTGGACAGTCCGTGTTTGGCCAATGACTGATAATGGTGTCAACAGGAGACATGGAGGATCAGAGCAGTGAGCGTGCCCATGTTGACCTAACACCGCATACTGCCTCTCCTCTCTGTGGTGGAGGCTTTGTTGTCTGGGCACGACTACACTCCATCTGTTGTCCAGTCAGGAGGTGATGCTTGGGGGGTTCACCTCACTGGAAAACATCCCCGCATCGCTCATGTCCACCAGCGGGGGGCAGCCTGTGTGTGACGGCTGGTTGTGTCCGATGTGAATTGTAACCTGCTAACTTGTTGTTGTGACTTTGGCCAGTGTTGACCTAGTTCCTCTCTAAACAGGTGGTGTGTGGCTTTATTGGTTTGATCTTGTTTTTGACTTGACCCTTTCATTTTTATTTTTTTTTTGCGTGAATTTTTTCAGTGAATTTATGGACAACAATACGGCTGCATGCATACCTCATGGTCACCTTTGTGAGAAAAAGTTAGACCAGTCTGGTGACCCTTTGACTTTGTTTTCATTGCAGTAACAATTTTGTATGTATTATTCACACTTTAGATATTATTTATTTTACACTTCAATCACTGCCATTTAGCCACATTTTTCACACTTTTCTAGCCCAGTTAATCATCATCTCTTCCATATAGATTACTTTCCTCAATAAATCCAAAGTCCCTTTAGTACTCACATCTCAACCATTACATATTTGGATGATTTAGGTCTGTATAAGCTTTATGTGTTTGAAGTCTTTTCTATTAAAGTGTGGAGCAGACTGTTGAAAAGCTTTAGAGATAGAAAAGATAGTTCTGCTCTAAAACTTATTTGAGAAACTCTCCCAGGCAGATGGTTAAGATGCCTGTCCCATGCAGTTATCTTGATCCTGCAGCGTCCCCGCCCGTTCTGTTGTGATTTGGGTGTGCGTAATTGAACTGTCAAAGGGCCACGACCCCAGAGTGGTGGCACCATACAAGGACTATTAGAACGTCCTCAGAGGATCACAAAAGACATTGATTAGGCATTAGGCTCAGATTCAAAAGGAGAGGCTGAAAAGAGTCCAAACTATGTCAAGAATGTTCGGCCGGTTGCACTTGCACGGCAGAAGTTTAACAAATAATCTTGAATAAAGTTAGGATAAAGGTAAATTTTCTGCTGGGGAATCGAGGGTCACTGCTTAGTCCAAAAACAGTTACACTTTTTTTCCTGAGGTTGATGGTTTCCTGCAACATGGCCTTCCTCAACCTGGAGCTGCATATTAGATGCCCCAGAGCCCTCTTCAGTCCTGGATTTTCAGTCCTGGAGCCTGTCGGGATGTGAGAGTGGATCTCTCTCTTACTGTGGGTCTCCCTGGTCTTACATTTTACCTCTGTGGGTTTTGAGTATTCCTTGCAGATGCAGGAGGGTCTGAAAGGACAGCACAGAACATGTATGCACATTAGTTAAACCTGCTACCCTATGGACCTATGATAAAAAGATCGGTATCGTGATAATACAAATTAAAAAGGGGTGGGACTGAATACGTTTCTACTTCGTCCAACTCCCTTTCGTACATGAAATGAGAACATTTATAATTATTTTATTTTTGTATACTTTAAAACTAGATCCTGATAATTAAGTACATCCTCAGTCTTTGGTCTGGACACAGATCCTAACATTGTTAACATTGTTGGACGTCCTCCACCTCAATCCTCTCTTCCTCCAGTCTATAACTTTGCCTTCTTTGCTCCCTCCACCTCCTCGCGTCCACAGCAGCTTACCTCCTCCCCTGTCTCCTCCTCCCCACCTCCACCTCCTCATGTCCACAGCAGCTCACCTACCCCCCGTCCCCTCCTCCTCACCTTCTCCTCCTCGCATCCACAGCAGCTCATCTCCTCCTCACCTACACCTCCTCCCCTGCCTCCTCCTCCTCCTCACCTCCTCCGTCTTGCATCCACAGCAGCTCACCTCCACCTCCTCATGTCCACAGCAACTCACCTACCCCCCGTCCCCTCCTCCTCACCTTCTCCTCCTCGCATCCACAGCAGCTCATCTCCTCCTCACCTACACCTCCTCCCCTGCCTCCTCCTCCTCCTCACCTCCTCCGTCTTGCATCCACAGCAGCTCACCTCCGCCTCCTTGCGGCCACAGCAGCTCACCTCCTCCCCTGCCTCCTCCTCCTCCTCACCTCCTCCGTCTTGCATCCACAGCAGCTCACCTCCACCTCCTCATGTCCACAGCAACTCACCTACCCCCCGTCCCCTCCTCCTCACCTTCTCCTCCTCGCATTCACAGCAGCTCATCTCCTCCTCACCTACACCTCCTCCCCTGCCTCCTCCTCCTCCTCACCTCCTCCGTCTTGCATCCACAGCAGCTCACCTCCGCCTCCTTGCATCCACAGCAGCTCACCTCCTCCGTCTTGCATCCACAGCAGCTCACCTCCTCCCCTGTTTCCTCCTCCCCACCTTCACCTCCACACACCCACAGCATCATACCTCCTCCCCTGTCTCCTCCTCCTCACCTCCTCCTCCTCGCGGCCACAGCAGCTCTCCCCCGCTTGTCTCCTTCACATGAACTCTGCAGCAGATGGTGAGCCTGCTCTCTCTGTGTGAGTTTGACTGACAGTGGCCGGTCATCAACCTCCGCACATGTCCAATCATTCGACCTGTCCTTTACTTCTCCTCTCTGGGTTTCCCCGCTCACTTCAAGGGCTACATGTTTATACTATTACAGTTTATGTGAATAGAGACAATTAATCAACAATTTTATCAATGTTCAGGTTGTGTAAGATTTGGCCATCGCTGTGTACTTGTTGTTTGGACTGTTTGTATATTATTTATTCAGGGATAAGATAAGAAAAGATAAACTTTATTGATCTCACAATGAAGGATTGAATAGGATCATTCAGATTGTGCAAAAAGACAGAAATACGCAACATGTTACGGTTAAAAATATAGTAGGTGCAGGGAAAAATTATGTACAATAAAAAAGTGAAAGTAGCAGTGCTGGTTTTTCAGTCCTAGTCAGGTCATTAGTGACTTAAAGTGACTTATTGTACAGTCTGACAGAGGTGGGTCAGATTTCAGCATTTTAGATTATTATCGGTTTATGTTAACTAAAATAAGCTCATACTTTTTTGAAAGGATAGAGCAGTTCCCAATCCACGGGGCTGGACCTCGAAGAATCCAAAACCTCTAAAACTCTACGGGTCCAAATGCAACTCTAAATGCATTCAAGCAGAACTAAAAGTAATGCTCTGTCAGTGGCTAGTTGTTGAGGACTCCATTTAAGCAGCAACAGCAAAATTGGACTTTGACTTGACCCTCCCCAGTGTTATATTTTTGTGTCTATTATGGTCTATTTCACCCGAAAGTGCATATTGTGTATTGTATTGTATTGTATTGGGTCGCCTTCTTGGGACATGAAAGTCCAAAGGCAGGCCATTAGACTGTCACGGCTGTGTTGACATCCAGGTTTAGGAAATAATGGATGGTAAATAAGATTATGTGATCAGGAAACACAAATAAAGTAATTATGTTGCAGGTGTAATCTAATTCTGTGTTTACGTCATGACACTGGATATGCTTCTACACAGTGGACACATGTGCAATACACAGTTTAATGCCTGTATTCAATTGTGTGATCTCATAAGTTAATGTTCTACCATGTTCTGGCAGATTAGGTTACCCTTCACTTCTAAGTTTCAGTTTTTGCCTATACATTATTCAAACCGTGTGTACTTTCGTATTGGACTGCAACTGTCTGAAATAAATCAAAATAATCTGAAACTGCACATTATTCCATATGTGGGTCTTGTCCCAGTTTCTCTAAAAGTGATGTCTCCTTGACCTCCACGATCTCTTTAAAGCACATGTTCACGTCCCTTTTCACTCCTTCCTTCCTTATGTGTGTGTGACATCTGTGGTGAGCAGGAGGGAGTCTTGAAGCAGCTGACGACATGTCAGAAGCCTCACATCTCCACCACAACCAGCTCAATGTCAAACTCACTGGCTCCGAAAACTCTTGGTATTTCATCTCGGGAAGCTTTTATGTGACAAATGCACTGTACATCCCAAGAGGAGACCCATCAAGTATACATGCTCTCAATGGAAAATATATATACACAGATACATTCAGTGAAAAAAGACAAAAACAACAGAAGAAACTTGACAAAACAAAGCTCTTGCAGTCTGGAGAAGTTGACAAAAGACCAGTGACTATAAGAACATGTTCATTGTTCAAGTTTTTTTGGATTGGTCTTGATCTTGAGATAGTTCAACTTATCTTCAAAGTCGTAATTGTTTTTTGATTTTTTTTAAGAACATTTTTGAAGCGTTCTATTGATTCAGGAATGACCATATCTTACACCTACTTAGTGTCCCATTAAAACTAAAGTTGTCCTTCTCAGAAATGACACAAAGAAATGTGTTGTGTTTTATTCCCTTAGAAGCAGGATTCAATTCAATTCAGTTCAATTTATTTAAGTATAGCCCTAAATCACAACAGTAGTTATCTCAGAGGACTTAACAAAACCGTTAAAATCGCCAACACAGATCAGAGAATCAAACAGTTTAAACAAAAAGAATAGAGAACACTTATAACTATTGTCCATAAGTGTTGATAAATGTCCATAAATGTTGTTTAATGTTGAGTGCCCTGGATCATCACCACCTCTTTCATTAATGATATTTAGGGAGATGTTTTCAATAATTCAAAATGTAACATGTACGAAAATAATTGGTGTGCATCAGTACCTCACTGTCATCATTGAGCTCAGCCCCAATCATCACACAGTCATTTTAAATGATTCTACCCTAACCCATGATTTTTTATAAATACAGAACACTTGCATATGTGACAAATTTCATAGGTCGCTGAGAACAAATGAAAGACAGTAGAAGCATAACACAAGGCGAAAGATAAAACTAGTGTGACCCAGTAGAAAATGAGGGGCGGGACTTCCGGGAAATGTCCTTAGATACATTTCTCTACGATTGATGATAATTTTTGACGCTCAACATTTTTTACAGAGTTAGCCATAACAATGGACTTCTGGACGACTGTGATGTTTTGGATGCAGTACATAGAATCAGATGTCCCATGTCCATCTCCAAATTCAAGCCGTCATCTTTCTTTGACTCTGACACCCAATCGTTTCCAGTCAGTCTACCTCTGTGTCTGCTCACTCCTTCTGGTCCAGGCCTTTAACTATGATCTGTATCTCTGTTGGGGAAACTCTCATTGTGCCGCTCTTAACCTTCAGAGTCCCTGGATGCTCGCTCTCAAACGCAGCAGATGGGACGTGTTGATGACTAAGCTCAAAATTCATGACTAAAATAAAAGGTGTTCTCCACATCTGGGCGCGGCTCCAGAATGATCCTCCAAAACGACCTTTAATTCAGCCGTTTGTCTCGGGCCTCTGGTGGTTTCTGTGCGGTTCACGAGCTCAGGGTGGAGTGCGGCAGCAGGAGGCCCGTCGCACAACTCATCTGTTATACTTCATGGGTTGTAAAAGCAATATTGATGGATTAAAACATGTGCAGTGCTGCTTTCATGTAAACCGGTCTGGGTCTGTATGAAATCCCTGTTTCAACATCACGGCAGATTACAAACATTGTTGAAAAGTAATGACCCGAAAATTGCGACAACAGAGTTCAGTTTAGTTTAAAAAGAGTTTTTTAGAGATGGACAACTCTTTTTCATATATTTTCTATGAATGAATTATACTCTCATTTGAAGTAAGTATTTTTGATCCTCCTCCCAGTTTGAGTAATTAAACTTTTTCAAACTTTTGTAATTAACATTTCATTATTTTAAAGACAGAAAACATGGGGCAGTATAGATCTGAGAAGTCATGTCTTTCGAGGGACATCTGGACCATCCACCAGCATCATGTGTATAGCGCCTTTCACAGACCAGGATCACAAACCCATTTTTAAAAAAAAGAAATTGGCATCACAGACTGTCCTGTCGGCACCAAGTAAGTCATCTTTATTTATATAGCGCCTTTTGCAAAGTGCTTCACAGTTGTTGTGGGCATTGTTCCTCTCACTCCCCATAAAGGAGGTGCACACCAAACCTACTCTGTACTTGCTATTTGTGAAACCGGAGCACCTAGAAAGAAACCTGTGCAGACACGAGGAGAACATGCAAACTCCACACAGATTCAGGTGTGGAGGAGAGCATCTGTGGACATCTCTGGGATCATCAAGAGCATCTGCAGCGACAGGATTCAGGCACATGTAGGTCACACACACAACTGAGGCTCATTAGACTCGTTTGGAGGAACTTTCACAGAAGTTGGATCAGCCGGTGATTTCCCACTGGCGGATTCTGAGCCTTTTCTAAATTCTGGCTCTGATGTTGATTACAATTATCTTTTTCTTTTTGTTATTCTCAATACATTACGTTATTCAAGCAGTAAAAAAACGTTTGATCAAGTTTTAGGAGGAGTTGTTCCCTATACTGTATTGTCCCCCCTTCTTTGACCTGGTTGTGGCACCTACAGGCTCTAGTTTTATTAAGTGCGGCTTATAATCCAGTGCGGTTTGTGCAAGTACAGCATTTAATTTCTTACTATAAAATCAACACTGCGGCTTATAATCAGGTGCAGCTTATAGTTCGAAAAATACAATAACGTTTATTTGTATACCGCCTTTCACAGACCAGGGTCACAAAGCGCCAAGAAAAATTAATTGGACTTCAAAAGATCTAAATAAAACAACAAGATGAGGAAGTGAAAATACCTCAAATTTTAAACTTCTGACTTGTCTCTGTGTCCTCAAATATGTCCTTCAGAAGAATAACCACATACCCCGCTGCAAGAAAGTCTTTCTTTTTTCTGCACTTTCTTGGTGGCCTCTTCCACTAAACTGCCTCTTCTGAATTATTATTTTTTTCCTCCAAAAGTTGAGTTGAGCACAGTGTTAAAAAGGGGAGATATAAGATGCTGTAATATCTCCCCCTGCAGCTCTCGTCCTGATAACATTACGGCGCGTGTCTGTGTGTTTCAGATTAGCCCATTGTCTGCTGCCTGTAAATGTGTGAGTGTATGCGCGCTAACCCGACCCAGAGACGGCTTATTCACCGCCGACAGATATGGCGGCCCATCCTTATCTAACCCACCTCCTCTGATTTTGTATTGATGGGACAATCTCGCCGCAGACCACTGCATTCTGGAACAAAGAGTCTGATAAGTGTGTGAGGAGTGCACAAGACTACAGGGATTTAAAAAATACACAATATTGTCAGTAACGGACTGGAAACAGGACTGAAAGCTCACCTTGGGGGACTGAAGCTGTTGAAAAGAAACGCAAACAACTCAGACAGGATTAGTTTGGACACATAGGGCACAGACAGGAATTAAAAGATATTGATGATTTAATTTAATGAACTGTCATACTTTTATATTCCAAAAGAAGAAATAAAGGAATTACATATTGTGTCAAAGCTATACAAGGCTTAAATATATGAAAATGAGAATGTTAATGTTAATGTTAATTACATTGTTCAAGTTGGTAAATACCCTCCTGTGGGCTCACCACCTGCAGAGGGGTCCGTGGTGGCGAGGTGCA